GTCCAGGAGGTTGGGATATAGTGACAGGATCCCTGGGTCATAATCCTGGATCACTACCTTTTTGATCTTGTCAAAGCGACTGCTGAGCTCAGTATGCAATCTGCACCCTGGAGGCAATCAGTGCCTCACGATGCAGTGCTGAGGACCTACACAGGCCGTGAGTGCTATCTGAAGAACTGCTCAGTGGATGACGGCAGACAAGTGGGCAATCTCCCAGCTGGGCCCTCTGCCTGCCTGTCTGGTGAACAGTCATCTAACCCAGCTTATTCAGCACTACCTCTGTAGGTTAGGGACAGAGAGGAAGAACTCCACCTCTTTCTCTCCCCACTGTCTCTCCAGCAGCCCACACCATTGTCTCCAGGTGGTGATGTTCATGGCTGTCCTGGGGTCTTTCATAGTACCCTGCTGGGACATAGCACTTGGGGGTGGGAAATGCTGGTCAAGGTGCAGGTAACACACTTGAACTTCCAGGCAGGACTGCTGATCCTGATCTAAGGAGGAGTTCCTCAGGTGCAGAGGAGGGACGGGTCAGACATACACAAGCCTGTTTGTAGATTTCRCATAAATTCCTGAGAAAAGGCCCTGTGTTTCAGAAAGTTCTGGGTCTCCTTTGAAAGCACTTCTACYGCCCTCTGATCTCTAGGGAGACTTCCCTTCTACCACATGCCTCCATGCAAATCATAGGGGATCTAACTCAGGGTAGGGGGTTGCTAAGCCCCCAAAGCCTCTGCTGTGATGTGACATCCCTTGGAATAAACAGGCTCAAGCAGCACCATGGCTGGGTGCACCTTGCAAATCCTCACTGACTATATCTCATGGCTTTCTGGGTTGCCCTCCAGACCAAGAGCCCCAGGACAGGAACCCTGAAACTCCCTGGACAGTTCTTTCCTCTGGCTCCTACTTTCCCATCAGTGCCCAGGGCAGGGTACAAGTTTTCAATCTTCCCTGGTCCCTGTCCCTTCGTTGTGATGCTGAACTCATCCCCAGTGCTATGTGGCTCCCTAATTTGGGTCTTCCCTCCAAGACTCCAGCCCAAGGGCCCCCATGACCCCCTACTCCCTCACTTTCAGAGTGTCTCCTTCCCATCCCATGTACCCACCCGCCTGATGCAGTCACACATGACTTTCTTCATATCTTTCAGCCCCACCCTCCCCATCCGGCCAGCACCAAACCAGGCTGCCTGGAACATGACTCATCCTTTCCCCAGCTTTTGGACACTCAGACTAGGGGACAGAGGCAAATGAGAGCTTGGACAGGGACAGGAGCTGGGGGGGAGGGGACCAAGAGAGCTGTGAGACAAGCATCCAGGTGAGAGACTGGGGATGGTGAGACTGGGGATGGTGACATGCCTGTTATTAGACATGCCCAATGGTTATGAACACACAGGTCTAATTACATATATAGGATCTGGATTATATAGAAGACTATTATTGCCTGTTGAGTGTATATTAGGAATTAAAGTTTGGGTACCCAGGGCAGAGAATTAGGCCTACAATATACATGTTGCCTACAACACATGGGGGTGCTGTGGATGTAGGTAAGCAGTGGAACACATGCTCAGCAGGTTTAAGGTCCTGGGTTCCAGCCCCAGCACCAAAGCCAAGCCCTAGGGTTATTAGGGGTAGAGCATTGGGTTTCAAATATGTGGCTAAATTTAGGCTCACTTTCACTTCACAGTCGAACCTGGTTCTTCCTTCAGGTGCCCTCTGTTTCCCTGCAGCAGCTAGGCCAAGAGGTTCCCAGACTTTGCTGCCCACTGCAATCACCTGGATTTCTTTAAAAAATACCACTGCCTGAGTGCACCCTCAGATTCCATGAGGAAGGAGTGCCACCTAYGCATGGGAAGTTTTCAAATGTCCCCAGGTGATTCTACTGTGCAGTAAAGCTGGGGGCCTCTGAGTAAAGCATGACATTCTTTCAGAGCTTTGGCTCAGTCAGCCTGGTGGCTCAGTCAGCCTAAGGCAAGGCTTGTAGTGACACATGACAACCATGTGACACTCCACACTGATCATGGAATCTGAGAACCCAGCCTGGGTTCCAGTGGCAGGTCCACAATGGCAGAGTGGGGGACAGTCAGATGGTACTGGAACCAAAACCTGGGAGCTGGGAGGTGCTGGAGAGAGGGGGCCAGTTGGGGGCTGGGATCAGAAGGACAGGGCTATGTTCTGTCCAGCACAGGGGGATTTACTGTGCCCTTCGTCTAGGACAAGGATGGTCACTCCAGACCAGAGGGACTGGCCAGCAATTTTCGAGATCCAAAAAGCTCCAAGGTGATGATGAGGGACTCAAGTCCCTTCTGACCTTGGCACTGACTTTTGTGACCTCAGGTCAGTCATTTGACCCCTTTGAGCCCAAGGTGATGATGGCAGGGAGGATGATGGCTAAATGCTTAGAGCCACAATTAGCAAAGCAAAACTTCTCTACTTCCTGAGCACATAAGTATTCCGATGCAGGAGAGTGAAATGGGCCCTCTTCAGGTGCCAATAGCCAAGAGGGGGCTGTGAGTGACCRCTTTCTACATTTCTTAATGAAGGCTCAGACAGATGGAAGAGCTGGCTCAGGATTAACCAGCTAGAGTGGTTACCAGGCCTGTGTCTCATTAGATCAGGACTGTCTCTCCCAAAGGTGATTAGATGGCAAACATTACTGTCCTCGGTGAATTCAGAACTTTTCCCAAACCACCCCAAAGTGGCTTTGGTACACAAAACACAAAATCACAAGTTCCTGGCCTTTTTCTTACAGGAAAAATCATTACTTCTAGAAAGAACTTTGTGGTGGAAATCTGCCAAAGACTATGAGGTATGAGACCTTGAGAAGTGAGCCGGCAGAAGGGACTGAAAGGGCTGGGGCGGGATTTGGCTGATGGAGACGTGGACTGAGGTGGGTAGACTATGCCTTCCTAATCCCTGTACACCCCACTGCCACCCTGCCCCAGGCCAACCGAGAAGCCTGGAGTTGGAGGGGCCTTGGAGCTGGTTCCCTTTTGTGCCTTCYGCTACCAAATCCCTCCCTTGCTGATGAAATTGGAGATGCCAAGGGCGGGTGTGAAGAGCCAGCTTCTGGGTCAGAGGCTAACCTGAAAAACAGAGGTCAGAAACCTGGCTGGAGGTTTGAACCACTCTGAGGATTAAAATGAGTCGCTTGCCATCAGCTCAAATGCACTCTCTTACTGGGCAGTCGGGTGCCCCCCATATTCTTAGTCTCGGGCCCCAGGCCCTCACCCCCATAGACAGCCACCACCACCCCTATTACAGCTGGGCTCTCCTTCTCCTTTCCCTTCAGGGCCCAGCAATAAAAAAACCTTCCAGCTGTAACCAGAGGCTGTAAAAGTGCAACCCCACCCACCGCAGCCAGCCCAGCCCCTGCCTTTCACAGCCCTGGCCACAGCCACAGCCTTGGGTCCCAAAAATGGGCAAGTATCCAGGGTTCCAGGGTAGCCACAGTATTTGGCCAGTGAATAGGGTGGCCTTCCAGACATACAGCCTGGCCTGAGGCTCACCTCTAAGGTCAAAGGGCTTAGAAGGAGAATTTGATTCCTGACTGCTGATGAACTCAGCCACTTTGGGTTTTCCAAGCAGAAAACATCATCGAAAAAATTCCCCTGAAATTCAGGTGGACACAAGGGATGTTCAGGCCCTATCAACTTCCATTTCTCCTCACAAAAACTCATCTTTCCTACCTCCATCTGAGCTACCAATCTAGCTTGGGCCTGAGGAGTAAGGATACATCACCTAGTTTTCCCATCTGTGACAGCTCCCCCACCAGCTAAGGCCTATGACAGTGACAACTTGGTGGTCCTGGGACAGATCAGAAGTGGAGCCTTACCCGCTATTCTACCTTCCACTGGATCTTCTTGATGCCTACTATCCATGGCAATCTCACTGGATTCTTGGCCAACTCCCCAAATTCTACCCCTATGCTCCCAAAGTCCCAGGCCAGCTCCCAGTCTCTAGGAGGGAGGAGGGAGAGGTGGTCAGCCCTGGCCCTGGCTTCCACAGCAGCACAGTCATCTAATCCATCGCATTTCTGTGCCCCCCCCCCCCCAGAGACAGAGCTACACAGGGCCTTTTTGTTACTAGGGAAGGGGATGGAGGTAGGAGATCAGGAGACTCTCTTTGACACCATTTCCTGCTGCTGGGTCACTGTTAGTCACCCAGTGCCCTTCCAGGTACACATCCTGATGAACAACCAAGCACCTCCACTRTACGTACCCCTTCCGGTCCTCTCCACAACACATTCACACATTGYGTAGAGGCTCATCTCTGACCCCCTACAAGCAATCTGGACCCAAATTTGGGGTTGGCCAGCCCCAGCCAGGCAGGGTAAAGGGTGGCACCTCTTCCAAAATGAAGGGCCTCMCTTGGGGGTCTCTCCCCAGGTCCTCCAGCTGCAAGCGTCCTGGCCTTCCAGGCCAAAGAGGAAGAACTTCTCCTTGGCTTGGGAGGGGCACTCAGCTCTTCCCAGGAAAGTGAAACAGGGAGAAGTGGTTCAGGGATCTCAAAGTGTCAGAGCTGGGAGCCCTCAAAGTCACCTCATTGCCCTGTACAGTCACCTCCTTGTCTGTTGCTCTAGACCACACAGCAACATGGGGAGAACCCAGGATGCCTGTTACCTCTCCTGGGATTCTCCTCTCTGGAGCACAGAGAAATTACAGGGAGGAGCTGTTAACAGGAACTTTTGAAGGAGGATCAGCAAGGAGAGCTGGAGAGGCTGAAGGGACAGCTGGCCAGGGCACGAGAAGGGGGGCCCCTACCTAGAGACAAGTGGTGAAAGGCTGGGAAGCTGGTGGAGGAAGTAGCAGCAGTTCACTGAGAATGACCGAACGGGTCTGGGCGTTGGGGAGCGGGGCAATGAGGTATAGGGAAGATCCTGCCTGACTTTGGACAAGTCACGTTTCCCTCTTGGCCCGGGTCTTCCCATCTGCAGACTAAGGTGTGCCKGAGCCCCCGAGGGGAGGCTCTGGGCTCGCAGGTCCCACCCAGCGAGCGAGGGGACCTCACCTTCTTGAAGTCAGCAGTGAAGGAGACGAGGGTGCCATCCGGCTTGCGCAGCTCCAGGCTGATGCTGTCGGCGTCGCTGTCCGCTTGTAGGCTTTCCTCGGTCACCTGGCCGTCGGGCAGCCGCACGCGGACCCGCAGCTCGGCCGGAGCGCCCACCCCCGCGCCAACGTCGCGCGGCGACCCCAGCAGCAGCAGTAGTGGCAGCAGCAGCAGCAGCAGCTGCGCGGGTAGCTTCGTGGGGACATCACGGCGACCCGGGGMGGGCATCCCCGGGGACCGCCGCGGCCCTGGAGCGCCGCGTGGGGGCGGGGAGAGGCGCTGACAAACTTGGCCCCAAGTTAGGGGCTCGCTCGGGGCGCCTGGGACCGCTCTTCCAAGGGACCCTGCGGCGAGATCGCCCGCGACGTGGCGCGGACGCACGTGGACGGCCCTCAGCCGCGCCGGGTGGCTCGAGTCCGAGTCGGCGCCCCCCGCCCGCCCCCAGCCCCGCGCCGCGGCTCCCGCGCCCCCGACTCCGGCGCTCGAGACTCGGTTTTGCACTTTTCATTCAATCCCACCCCCCGTCACTTCCTTCAGAAAACAGAAACCACCAGGACCTGCCTTAAAGAGACCGCGCACCTCTCGGCCCTTAAAGGGCCCGCGGCGGCCCGGGGGAGGGGGCGGGGAGAGGGGACCGCCGCCAGCGGCTTTGTGGGAAAGGGCTCGCTCAGTGTCCCTCCCGCCGCGCCCCGGCTGTGTCAGGAGTTTGCCCTAGCAGCAAATCCCTTCCTCCCAGCAGGGGCGGGACGGGAGACTCTTTCCCCCCGCCCCTCTTTTTTTTTTTTTTTTTTTGGCTTGTTCTTGTGCCACGTGGATGAAATATTTGGGCTTGGATTTTTTTAGGGGTTTTGTTTGGTCCTTTAGTTTTTCTGACACAGCGAGTTTCTCAAAAGCGTCTGCAAAATCATACCTCATGTCTCACTCCGCCTTTTTCCTGCCCTAGGTCTAGCGTGAAGCAGGGGTTCTTGCCCAGCCTTGACTCAGGTCAGGTGCGAGATAAAGAGAGGCTACCGAGTAGAAGAGACCCTCAAAACGCCCATATTTTGTGAATCCCTGTTCAGCTTTCTTTTTCAGTCCAGTCTCCCTCATCTCCCCAGTTCATGGCCTTTCCTAGGTCCAGCCCACTTCCTCGGAGTCCTTGCTCTTTCCAGGTAACAGATGGAGCTCATCCAAGGAAATGTGAGGTTTCAAGTCACTGGAGACACTGGACACTGGCTCTTCACATCAGGAACTCACCCACAAGCCGTGAGAAGATATGCCTGCCCTGCCATGCACCCCACCAGTGAGCTGGTCGGGGGAGATCTGGAAATGGCTCTCTTCTTAACTGTGTCATTTGGGCATGTTTTAAATGTACTTAGCACCTCAGTATCCCCCTGTGAATATTGGGTTGCTGCAGTACTGCCAGCCCCCTGCAAAGCCCAAGGGGCATATTCAGAACCTATTGTTCCCATATACTCATATTCACTTGATTGTGCTAGATCCCCTGTTTTCTCTGGAATATTGATGGCAGCCTTCTTCCCTCCTAGGGTGTCCCCACTCAGTGCCCTGTGGGCTGCCAGAGTCCACCTCTTACTTCCAAGGCAGAGCCCTTCCTGTTACATTCTGTTGCCTAAATTTAGGACTGAAGGGGATTTGAGATTATACCTAATTCATGGTTTTCCAAATTTGTCTTACCTCAAGAATCACTTGGATGCTTGTTAAAAACACATTCTTGGGTATTTACACTTGTGGACTGAAACCCTAGGGAAAAGAACAGAAAATCAGCATGGTTGACAAGGGCCCATATGATACTTGATTATATCAAGAGTGACAGTTGGCACTTGACAGAAGGTTAAACATAAAGGATCTAAAATGCACAGCATCTTTCCTGGGAAGCCACCTGGCCCTTTAGCACTTGATCTTCACCTTGGGGAGATGAGGCAGACTGCTCCTCTAGGGATTCCCACCCTGAGCTGACAGTGCTGAAGATGAGAGATGCTCAGGGTCTCAAAACTGGCCTCCGTCTGACTGGATGCTAGATGTCAACACTGCCTTAAAGCTAGGTCTTCCCTCCTGAGTCAGCCACACAGTCATTAAGGGCCTCGCCCTTATTTTCTAACTTCCCGTTTCAGGTCCTATCCCACCCACCATCACCAGCTCTGTTCTCAGCCACACTTCCAGGTCCTTGACCTCCCCTGCCCCAGCACATACCCCAAGAACCCAGAGAAGTAGCCAAAGAACTCTGGATGTCCACTTTCATTTTTAGGTCTCTGAGGCTTTGTCTCTATTCAAACTTTACTTTGGAAAAAAAGTGTGGAAGACCTCACCTCTTCCTCAACCTCTTGCCTATAATCAACTTCTTTCTCTACTTCAACCACAGATCAAAACAGATTTTTCTTCATTTTTTTCCTTTTCTTTCTTTCTTCTTGTTTGGTTTTGGGGACTGAACCCATGGGCCCTTTACCGCTAAGCTACATCCCCAGTCCTTTTTGTTTTTTATTTTGAGACAGGATCTCACTAAGTTGCTGAGAGCCTTGCTAAGTTACTGAGGCTGGCCTCAAATTGCCATCCTCTTCCCTCAGCCTCCTGAATTGCTGGGATTTATAGGTGTGTACAACTGTGCCCAGTTGAATTTTTCTTTTAGAATGATAGTGAACAATGAAATCTCCATTCCATGAGTCCCATCTACTTCTGTCACTCTTCCTTCCTTTTAACTTAGTGTAAGTCCTCAAAATTCGGATCAGAACTCAAGTTTCCCAGCAAGACTTTCTCAACTACCGACTGATCTATAACTCTAAACCACTCTGCTCTCTCCYGCCTCTGGACTCCAACAATAATAGTAATTATTATAACAGCTACCCCTAATTCTCTTATGTCCAGGTTCTGTGCCAGATCTTTTACGTGGGTCATCTTATTTAATTTTCTTAGCAACCCCCTCTCCCCAAAAGGTTTTATTCTTAGCCTCATTTTAATGACTAAGAAGCCAAAGCTTAGAGAGGTTGAGTAACATACCCAAGGTCACACAGGTAGCAGAACCAGCTGTGTTTGCCAGGGAGTCTGCCTGACCASAAAGCCTTTGCTTTTAACCACAGTAGCTTCTGCCTGTCTGTAACCCTTGCTTTCTTCCAGTCCATTTTGGGCACACATCCTGTGCTATCTTTTCCTGTTATCTAACGGTTTCATGTGTGGCAATCTTGTATCCCCAGTGAGACTGTTAGTTCAAACAGGCTAGCCCCGTGCTGGGAACAGAGAGCGCTTCCCTTAAACCACCCAGGCATAGAGGCATCCATTCATCTTGCATGTAAAGGCCCTCGGAGGGAAAGCTCTAACAAGCCTAATTACCCTGACTACAACCAAACAGCCCTCATTGTCAGAAAGTTCTTTATGTCTAATCTTGAGCCCTCTGCCATGCCATAAACCAATTTCCTTTCCTTTTTCACCGCTAGCCCTGGGAGAGCAGTTTCTAGTACTGGTRCAGAGCAAGGGCATCAGGTCTCAGGCTTGGAGCTTGGCCACGCATGAGCTGTGTGATTCCGTGAGCCTCTGTCTTCATCTGTAAAATGGACATGTAAATGCTTCCCTCGCTGGGTTATTTTGAAATTAAATGCAATATTGTGTATCAATCACTCTTCAAAGTGTTCCTCAAGCTTGGGCCTGCTTAATAGTAGCTATTATTATTTGGTAATTGTTTATTCTTTTCCATTGTCTCAAATACTAAATCCCTGTTTGACTACACATGCCAGTTTTCCCCTCTATGCATAAAAAACCACTTGTTCATAAACAGTTTGTCCTTTATACTTTTTAGGTCTTTCAGTTTTATGCTGTTTGAGATCTCTAAAACTGGGAAGTGGGCAGCAAAACCTGGGGAGGCACCTCCCATTTTCTTTTGGTGTGGGTGTGCCTCCATTTGGTAGAAAGAGAAACCCCGTGCCATCTCACAGCCTGGGACAGGAAAGCAGGTGATGACAGGGCATATAAAAGGGTGAAAGGGAAACCAAATAAATGGCCTCTATGGGCACATGGGGGCAGCAGGAGAGGCAGCTTGTCTTTGCAACATGGAAAGACTTTTCTTGATGTTTTCCCAGGGTGGCTATTTGCTTTGGGTTACAGTATGCCCTTCCTTACTGCAGATAGGGCAAGCAATTTGTGCTTTGAGGCTGCGGGAGAAGGCAGGATAGGGTGGGGGAGGTTTGTCCTCTATCTCTCAAGGCCCATACAAAGCTCCGAACACTTCACTGCCTGAGCAGAAATGCACATTAGGTTTATGGAATCACATGACTACACAGTTACATCAGTGGAGGGTGTGGTGGGAAACCTGCTGGAGAAACAGTGGAGGAATGAAGAGTGGAAAGGGAAAAGCAGGCAGGATGGCCATGGGAAGCCCTTCTTCCCAGGCAGAAATCCAGGTGAGGGGATATTTAGATGGAGCGGGGGAGTGCATCAATAACCTTCAGGAGGGAAAAGGAGACCTGAATGATCTGAACTGCAAGGGAAGGCAGGAAATAATTTACACATGAGTAGCAATAAAGAAGATATGAATTTCTCTGGAACWAGATAAAAATGTTATGTGATACTTATATAAGGGTGGTGTGTATGAATATATAGGTTGTAGAGGGTTAACATTTTTACTTGGTAACTACGGTCTGAACTCATTGATCCCAGATCCATGACCCTGGCAGGTCCCAAACCTAACCATCTACTCTTCCATGCTAGTTCCTCCATGCTCCACCTCCTGGATGCTCATTCATTCATTCATTCAKTCAGTCAGTCAGTCTTGTAGCACAGAGTGAGTCACTGTGCTGGATACAGCAGTCACAACAGTGAATCAAAGCAGGCATAGCTATTCCTTATCCTGCAGCGGGACTGCCAGCTGCAAGGGAAACAGGCATTTAGAAAAAAAAATGGCAAAATCAGCCAAGGTCAGTGGTGCAATTCTATAATCCCAGCTACTTGGGAGGCTGAGGCAGGAGGTTTTTTAAGTTTGAGGCCAGACTGGGCAACTTAGCAAGTTCCTGTCTTAAATTTAAAAATATTTTTATAAAGGGCTGGAGGTATAGATCAGTGATAGAGTGTCCTTGGTTTTAAAAAAAGTTATGGCAAAAGTAAAATTATAGTTGCTATAAMTGGTACCATGGAGAATAAGAGGGGACTTTAGCTTAGACCAGGAGGCCTTCTTTGAAAGACTTTGCTGGGTATAGTCTAAACTTTAAAGATAAGTCAGGGGTGGGGATGTGGCTCAAGCGGTAGCGCGCTCGCCTGGCATGCGTGCGGCCAGGGTTTGATCCTCAGCACCACATACAAACAAAGATGTTGTGTCCGCCGAAAACTAAAAAATAAATTCTCATTAAAAAAAAAAAAAAAAAAAAAAGATAAGTCAGGCTACTCTGGAGGCTGAGGCAGGGAGATCACAAATCCAAGGCTATCCTTGGCAACTTGGAGAGACCCTGACTCAAAATAAAAGCTGGAAAGGGCTGCTAGGATAGCTTGGTAGTAGAGTGC